AACTGCCATGTGATTGGTTGATTAGATAATTGCATTAATGAGAAATTGAACAGGTGTTCCTAATAATCCTTTAGGTGAGTGTATATACACACACACACATCTCTCCCTCTGTATACATAATGGAATATATAACAATAAAAACATATATGGCTCATGTATTCTTTTTATCCTTCTTGATGTAGCGGACTATCGATTCATTCAAGCCATAATGGCGAGCGACATCCGCGTAATGAACTCGCTGCTAAATAACCTAACCATAGTGATTTCAATTTAATGCTCCTAAAGGTCAGATGAGCCAGGAACCATCTTTCAGCTTCCCAAACACCAACACACACAGTGTTGCGAAGTCCAGCAAAAATCTCCAACCCAAGGTCTGCTTAAAATCCACCCAATGGAAGCTAAAACTAGCCCAATATTTGAAATACTGTATCTCAAAGAAATAAACTAGTACTTTGAATGCTGATCACATTCAAATGATTTAAACGTAGACAGACGCACTCTCCTTTCCCAGGGTTGCCAACTTTGGTCAACTGGCTGGAGTCAGATTTTCAATTCAAGACAAGTCTGCACACACATGCACACGCATTTGCATGTATGTAACAGTTTTATTACCTTGTAAATAGTCTGTAGGGCCTGCAAACTATCCCAACACTTTTGATGTAGCTAATTTTGGGCTTATAATGGAATAATGTGCATTTGCCATAAAATTGCTTGCATGAGAGTCTGAATGCATGAGTGTCACACCAGATGCATGAGAGTTGGCAACCCTGCTTTCCCTGTGCATGTCTCAAACTTTTGGTGTCTGGTGATTCAGTATTACTCGCGATAAGGAGTCACTTGCATTCATAACAATTAATTTCTTTTTCCCCTTACAGTCCGCTGCTGCGGAACTTTATGAAAGCAGTCCAAAAACCTGCAACCCGTGAACTCCTAATATTTACCTGCAACTGTATTTTCAAAATAGCCCAATTGGGTGAGAAAACCATGGACCTAGCAACTCTGGACACACAAAAAAGCGTGCTTTTGCATGCAACAGCTTACGAATACAAGCATATTCGCAATAAATGACATGTCCTCCTTTGGCCTGGAAGCATAATGACCCCTGAAAATATTAATAACACCAGCTGTGAGCTCAGTAAATAATGCAAAATTAATAAAGCAAAATTATTTGAGTGGTGGAAAACACCGCTGTCTATGAGAGATAAGATTCACTGATTCACACTGGTGCACCGGCATAAAAGTTCAGGATGCGACTGCCCCGATTAAAAAAGCACCGAGTGGTATTTGGGATGAACTGGGGATACATCGTTTCCAACATATTTGCATCTGCAAAATTTATTAATGTAGAATAGTGAGTTAAATCATTTTGCTTTATTAATTTTGTATCATTTATTTATTATTTATTCTCCTTTGTAAAATCTTCCAGAAAGTGGATTCCAGCTTGTGTATCGGAATCCTTAGTAAGCTTCCATATCATCTCTACACTCTCGCTTCACAAATTGGATGATAATTGCCTTATACGGTTTTGTGTTGTCTTGGAGGCTGTGCATCATAGCCAAAATTCTCCACTTTGGTTGCGTCAATCCAAAGGACATTGTTCCACAATTCTTATGGTTTGTTCAGATGCAACTTTGCATACCTAAGCCATGCTGCCACAGTCTTCTTAGAGAGATGAGGCTTTCTCCTGGCAACCCTTCTGAACAAGCCATAATTGTTTGGTCTTTTTCTGTTTGTACTGTCATGAACTTTAACATTTAACATTCTGAAGCCTGTAGAGTCTGAGATGTAGCTCTTGGGTATTTTGCAATTTCTTTGAGCATTGGAAGAACTGCCCTTGGGGTGAATTTCCTGGCACTTCCACTCCCAGGAAGACTGGCAACTGTCTAGAATGTTTTCTATTTGTGAACAATCTTTCTCACTGTAGAATGATGGAATTTAAATTCTTTGGAGTCTGGCCTTATAACCCTTCCCAGACAGATGGGCAACAACAATTCCTTCTGTAAGATCATTGCTGATGTCTTTCCTCTTTGGCATTGTGTTACACACCTGAATGCTCCAGACCAGCAAACTACCAAAACTTCTGCTTTTATAAAGGTGGTCACACACTGATTATCAATTAATCAAGTGCATTTGAATAGCAGCACCTGGCTGCTACTTACCCTCTTAATTCCTATGGAAACAGAAAGGGTGTATAGGCATCCCTCCTTGCTGATATTGATTTCAGGGAGGCAAATGAGGGTCATCTGGGAGGGTGGGGGGTGCTGGCCAATGCTTGGCTGGTATTACAGTAATACTGTACATATATTGCCAACTTTCTTAACATAAGAGAACGTCTTATGTTAATTAACCTGTCGTGTTGACTCTTATCAACCTTTAGAACTAAAGTTTTGATATACTGTGACTTTAACACTTTTAGAGAGGTGTGTGCATTCCCAGGATGTCAGAAATAGGAGGATCCCGTCCAGCCCAATATCAGCAGAACCGCCCCCCTTCCCAATTAATAAATGAATACATAATCAACAGCATGTTCGTTATATTTCATTATGAATCCGTTCATTACTATGGCCAATTCGCTACACATTCAGAGTGCAAGGACAAAAACTAAGAAAGATTGTAGTCATGTATCAGACATAATCATTTTATCTTATGGATCAGTTATTTTTAAGTCACTAACTAATGAAGTAAGTGGCTTTGTGTAGTCATCATTTATTGTGTTGTCATTGTGTTGTAGAGTAAGGTCTCATATAGTGTTTAATGTGAAGTGTTGTAAATAGTGCTGTGCGTGGTGTGAGAATTTGTATCTTACAGTTGACTGATTTGCGGATACAAGTGGCAGAATTCAGCTTCCTCCGCAGGGTGACTGGGCTCAGCCTTAGAGATAGGGTGAGGAGCTCAGACAAAGCAGCTGCTCCTCTGCCTCGTTTGGACATCCATCTAGGATGCCTGCAGGACGGCTCCCTGGGGAGGTGTTTCAGGCATGTCCAACCAGGAAGAGGCGCCAGGGCAGACCTAGGACACAATGGACAGATTAAATCTCTCAGTTGGCCTGGGAATGCCTTGGTATTCCTCTGGTGGACCTGGAGGAGATGGCTGGTGAGAGGTATTGGAGGTCTGTGCATCCATGCGTAGACTGCTGTCCCTACGATCAAACCCCCGATAAGCGGCAGAAAGTGGATGGATGGATGGATGGATAACCTAGACAATGAAACTATAGTGGAAGGTGTGGGTTATGTAACGTTGCTAGTATTATGTCAGTATAACTATCAACAGATCTTTTAACTGGTTATTTTTGCTGAGAACCACCATATATGAAAAAGAGGCGCCACGCCGAACCTCTAGATGATGTGTCGCTGCCACAAAAGATGAGCCATGCCTGGGACTGCTCTAGCCTGATAACAGCCGATGTGTCCTAGGCTTTAAGTGTAGGGTTTATAAGCACATGTGTTTGGGGCAGAGAAACACCAAATTACGCGCATGTCGCATGTAAATGACCCTTCCCCGCATTCTGTCAAGCACTTTAATTGCATTTTTCACTACGCGCTCTGGAGGGCTATATTAGGTCACACACCTCTACATGGCCAAATGCAGTACAGAAAGCCAAACATATAACAAAACTTTTCACATTTATTATACATTTAGAAGTTAATGTTACAGTCCAGAACACATATGAATAATTCACATAATTATATAGGAATTATATATAAGAATTTAAGCCCATGACCCTGAAAGGGATGTCGTTACAGAAAATGGATGGATGGATGGATGAGAATTAAATATCACAATAGTCGGCCTCTGTGATGGGTTGGTGCCCCATCCTGGGTTGTTCCCCGCTTTGCACCCATATCTTCCGGTATAGGCTCCGGATCCCCTGCGACCCTGAATAGGACAAGCGGTTTAAGAAACTGGGTGAATGCTGAGGTTACTTGGAGTTACCAAATTGCCTGTAAGTGTGTATTTGTGAGTGAATGGTATGTGACTTAGTCCTGCGGTGGGTTGACACCCCGTCCTGGGTTGTTCCCTCCTTGTACATAGCCTTTGGGATAGGCTCCAGACCCCCTACGAACCTGAATAGGATAAGTGGTTGCAGAAAATGGGCAGCAGTGGGCAGTGGTTAGCGCTGCTGCCTCACAGCAAAAAGGTCCTGGGTTTGATCCCTGGGTCGGGCGTAGGTCCGTTTTGTGTGGAGTTTGCACGCTGTCCCTGTGTTCGCGTAGGTTTCAGCCGGGGCTCTGGTTTCCTCCCACGGTCCAAAACAATGCACAACAGGTTAATTGGCGATTCTACATTGGCCCTGTAATTATGTGAATGTGAGGGTGGCTGTGTGAGTGTCTGTGGTGTGTTGGCGCCCACCCATGGTTGGTTCCCGCCTGTGCCCCATTTACCCAGGATCAGCTCTGGTCCCCCCCGCAGCCCCAGTTGGGGTTAAGCTGTCACGATGATGGATGGGTGGTTACAGAAAACAGATGGATGGATTGAGGGATCATTAAATCAGGGCTATAAATGACATAATTTTAACTTGCCTAATAAGTTAAGGTAATTTAAATTTTCAAAACACTTCATTTTACTGTAACATTTCATTTTTGTCTAAGGATTCTCATGTTCATGAGAATGACCAAATTTAAGCATAGCAAGCTACCACCATGCTTTCATTTTCAAAATAGAAGGGTTTCTGCCGATTTCAATTAGGTTCACAATATAAATGAAATAGTCCACGTACCACGTTTTGCTTGTTGCCACAATCATTGATTGCATAGCCCCCTTTTCTTGTTTGATGAATTAATTATACTTCTTGTACAGCCGTGCCTTATTTTTCAGGTTAAGGGTGGTGGATGTGGCCACGCTAATAAGGGTGTAACTCAAGAGCGTATAACTTTTTAGGCTCTTTGTTAAGCGCCTGATGGGAGAATAGACTGTAGTGTCACATGATCTCTGAAGGTATGCTCAACATTTTTATCTTATGTTGTCTCCCAGGCTTGCCCAGAAGATGCCCTTAATCCCTTACAAAATCAGGTAAAATTCAGCTTTACAGACACGCCCTCTCAACAAAACCTTTCCCCTGTCCTGCACCCAGCTTCACAAGTCAGCTCATCCCATCCAGTGAGTTTTTATATCATTATTTTCTATCTGGTATGATAGTAACACATGTTGCAAGTTATTATGCCATTTAAATGAACTCTCCTCTATTTTTAGTTAGACTTTGAAATAGATTGTGGTCCTGATAAGGTGTGTATCGATGACCTTAAAGTGGATTTCAATTTCCTAAGGTAAGAGTAATGCAATGCAAAACTGTTGATTAGAAAGACAAACATTTTATGTACCTTAACCTATATTTGATCACTAATTACACATAAGTAGGGTTTCTCCTTCAGCATGAAGTATTCAAGCCTGTGGCTCTTTTTCTTTTTCAGCGTATCTGAAATGCATGTTGGCATAATATCGGAGTTGAACATACTAGTGTCAGTGGAGAACAGAGGGGAGAATTCATACAACACCCATATAATTTTTACCTATCCAATAGGATTGTCGTACAGAAAAGTTGAAGTACAGGTGAGGGACAATAAGACGATCAGCATTGCAAGTTACGAGCGAACGTGAACCCAATGACATTTATTGAAAAAAATCATTTGTATTGTTTTTAGGATGCTTCCAGTAGGGCAAAAGTTCAGTGCAATGCCTTGCCCTTTCTGGATGAGACCACAGTGGAGCAGATCTCCTGCAGCATCAACAGGCCCATTTTCCATAGCAAAGCCCAGGTTAGGTCCAAAACTACTGTATTCAGCTAATTTGAATATTCACTATTGTCATCAGTATTACATTCCTCAATCTCTGAAAACAATTAGAAAATGTGTGACTGGTGGTTATACTGAGAATTTAAAGATGCATCTAGAAAGTACTTGAATTGCGTATATTTTATGGTGGATCTTCCAGTTTTCTGTTCTGTGTGTCTGGAATTTCCTATGAGTACCGTTAGGAAGACTATTAATTGTACTATTATTAAATTGATCACTTTTTTGTTTGAAAATTAAAACACACAATCAGTTTAATGGTTGAGGTGTATTATTAAGTATACTATTAAACCTAAGGCAGAATAGTAGTTAAATTGTGTTTCAATGTAATTCCTGTCAATGTATCAGCTAAATTTATCCAAACTTTCTTTTCACAAACAATCTTAAGACTGAAATTCTGAGTGTCATTCTATTAACATTCAGCTATGTCATCCCCAGGCTTCCTTTGTGCTCAGTTTTGGCATAGATGGCAATAGTCATTTTAATAAAAACGTAACATTTACAGCCAACGCTACAAGGTAATGACCCCTCTAAGCCTGCTCTGATAGAGGAGATTTTGCTGGTGCATTTACAGTATGTTTAGTATTATCTTTTGAAGAAAACAGACGTCACACTGTTGTATGGAGGGCTAAGAGTGCCAAAATTAAATAAATAAATACACCAATAATTAATTAATTAAATGTGTCATGAATTGTTTAAAATGGGAAATATAAAGATAAATTATTACTTAAATGTGTCATGAATTATTTAAAATGGGAAATAAAAATATCGTTAATTAAATGTGCCATGAATTATATCTACCATTAGAAATAAAATCATTATTAATTAATTACATGTGTCATTTACAATTATTTATCTTTATATTTCCCATTTTAAACAATTCATGACACATTTAAGTAATAATTTATCTTTATATTTCCCATTTTAAACAATTCATGACACATTTAATTAATTAATTATTGG